GTGACAGTGACAGTGATTTTGCCACAGGTCACCCAGAAATTCAGTTTTTGTTCAGTGATATGTAAGCATATCCCTGTATCACTGTCATTCCGTTGTTCATCGATTTCCTTGAGCAGGTACCAGTAACGTCTCCATTCATCCTAGCCCTGATATTTTAGCAAGTGCCACATTGGAGGCTCTTTCAGGGTCAGGGGAATGAAACCCATCCTTGTTACTGGGTTTTGGCATATCAAATATGCTATGGGGAGCTTGCCAGACTCTGCCATGTGGGCAGGATACTCTCGATAGCCAGTCCATGTAAGCATATAAAGAATACTGTCACTGTCCTCCCGTTGTTCATCGATTGGCTCGAGCGGGCCCAGTAAGGTCTCCATTGTGAGACTTGTTGTTACTGTGTTGGCATATCGAATACATCACGGGTAGCTTGTATTTGCCGTGCATAAAGAATATACTTAATGAAAAAGACTTAAAATTAAGAATATGTTTTATAGGAGCTGGAGTAATAGCACAGCGGGTAGGGCATTTGCTTTGCATGTGGCCAACCTGGGTTCGATTCCCAGCATCCCATATGGTCCCCTGAGTACTGCCAGGAGTAATTTCTGAGTGCAGAGCCAGGAGTAACCACTGTGCATCACCAGGTGTGACCCCCCCAAAAAGAATACGTTTTATAAAATTCATTATTTTATTATTTATTCATTAGTTATGTGAAGTGAATATTTAGTGCTCATTTTGTCACCAGTGCTGATTAGATAGTATAGTGACAACAGTAATCAAAAGCTGACAGATAGCTTAGACAGTGAGATATGCTCCTATCTTATCTCTGTCTCTCTTTTCTTCTAGAGACTGAGACAACTCAGAACTCCCACTGACAATTCCCCACCTTGTTTATTATTAATTTTACTTTGTCCACTAAAAGAAAAATTAAAACGTTGTCTTTTGTAGCTAAATGCCCATAACTGATTTATCCTTGAGCCCTAGCATTCAGATGGTGGAGTATAAAAAACTGATCTTAACTAAAATTTCTCCTGCTTTTCCAATTAAGACAGCCACATCATTCAATGGGGAGTATTTAAAATGAAGAGCACGTGGACAGAGAGGTAGTTCAAAGGGCTGGAATACATGAATATGACTGCTGGAGCCCCAGGTCCAATCCCTAGCACTGCATCATCCCAAAGCAGTTCAGGGAGTTGCTATTCTCCCAGTACCACTGAATGTAGTCCTCAAAAAATTGTTGAACCATAACCTAACACTTTTAGTTTTCTCTTACTGCTGTAACAAATTACTACAAATATCATGGCTTTAACATTTTATGTTATGTTCTGGAAGATGTTCTGGAAGATCTAGAGAGCATTTCCTTTCCTTTTTGTACTTCTAGCAGCCACATGATAAGGCTCATGGCCACACAGATATTTTCTTTTTAAAAAAATTTTTATTGTGAAACACCATGAGGTACAGTGTAGACTTACAATTTTTTGTGCTTGGGTTTCAGTTATACAATGATTGAGTACCCATCTATCCACCAGTGCCCATTCCCCACCTCCAGTGCTCCCAGCATGCCTCCCATTTCCCCCCTCCCCCCATCACACCCCTCCACCCTTGTGGCAAGGCATTCCCTTTTGTTCTCTCTCTCCTTTTGGGTGCTGTGGTTTGCAAAAGAGGCTCTGAGTGGCAATCATGTTCAGTCTATAGTCTACTTTCAGCATGCATCTCTCATCCTGGGAGGATCCTCATTTCACTAACACCATCAAAAAATGGGGTGATGAAATGAACAGAAACTTTTCCAAAGAAATCTGAATGGCTAAAAGGCACATGAGAAAATGCTCTACATCATTAATCATCAGGGAGATGCAGATCAAAACAACAATGAGATATCATCTCACACCACAGAGACTGGCCCACATCCAAAAGAACAAAAGCAACCGGTGTTGGCGTGGATGTGGCGAGAAAGGGACTCTCCTTCATGCTGGTGGGAATGTGGACTGGTTCAGCCCTTTTGGAAAACAGTATGGAAAATTCTCAAAAAATTAGACATTGAGCACCATTTGACCCAGCAATACTACTCCTGGGAAGATATCCCAGAGAGGCAAAAAAGTACAGTTGAAATGACATCTGCACTTCTATGTTCATTGCTGCACTATTCACAATAGCCAAAATCTGGAAAAAACCTGAGTGCTCGAGAACAGATGACTGGTTCAAGAAACTTTGGTACATCTACAGAATGGAGTAATATGCAGCTGTTAGAAAAGATGAAGTCATGAAATTTACATACAAGTTGTACTACATGGAAAGTATCATGCTAAGTGAAATGAGTCAGAAAGAGAGGGACAGACATAGAGAGATTGCATTCATCTGGGGAATATAAAGTAACAAATTGGGAGACTAACACTCAAGAATAGACAAGATAATTACCAGGAGGTTCACTCCATGGTTTGGAGGCCAGCTGCACGTGCTGGGGGAGAAGGCAGCTTAGATAGAGAAGGGAGTACCAAATAAAGGATCCTCCCAGGATGAGAGATGCATGCTGAAAGTAGACTACAGACCAAACATGATTGCCACTCAATGCCTCTTTTGCAAACCACAGCACCCAAAAGGAGAGAGAAAACAAAACGAAATGCCCTGCCACAGGGGTGGGTGGGATGGGGGGGGGGTGCAAGTGTGGGAGGGATTCCAGGAGCATTGGAGGTGGGGAATGGGCACTGGCGGAGGGATGGGTACTCAATCATTGTATAACTGAAACCCAAGCACAAAAATCTGTAAGTCTATAACTGTACCTCATGGTGTTTCACTGATAAAAAAATAAAACAAAACAAAACAAGTTATTGTTTTCTACTGACAGGCACCTTTTAAATTTGGTTATTAATATTTGGGTCTTGTTGACTCTCTGGTCTTATTTGGATATTTAGCTCTGGGCTGGAGCGATAGCACAGTGGTAGGGCGTTCACCTTACCAGCGGCCAACATGGCCATCCCGAGTTCGATTCCTCCGCCCCTCTCGGAGAGCCCGGCAAGCTACCGAGAGTATTCGATATGCCAGACACAGTAACAACAAAGTCTCCAATGGAGACGTTACTGGGCCCGCTCGAGCAAATCGACGATCAACGGGAGGGCCTTTACCTTTACCTTTACCTTTCCTTAACACCCTTTTAATGTCTTCTATTTACATTCAATTTTTTCTAATAAGTGGGATAAGGATTCAGGCACTTCCCCTGCTTGAGGCCAACCCTGGTTCAGTCTCTAGTACCACATGGTTCCCAGTCCCATAAGTATCACCAGAATGAATGTTATCCCTGAGCATAGAGCCAAGAGTAGTCCCTGAATATAGCTAGATGTGGTTGCAATACCCCTCCTTTAGGACTCCCCTCAAAAAAACCCTCATAAACCAATAATTCTTTTTAAGACAAATACTAGATAGTATCACTCATCTGTGGTATGTAAAAGAAGACAAGGAATGAAAGATATTAAAATAATGGCAAACCTTTGTTTCTGGATTACAGTGCTGAGAATGCCAATGTTAATGCGAAAGTAGATTTTCCTCCACTAGTGTGTTCTTGAGAATTGCATGAAAGATTTTAAAACAATTTAAAACAATTGCTAAGGAATTGGGATGGGGTGGGAGGGGACCTTGAGACATTTGTCCCTAATGGGGACCAATTGGCTGACACTGGTGGCGAGTTTGGAATTAGAACATTGTAAAGCTGAAACTTTGCTATAGGATTATAATCACAGTAACTAAACTAAAACTAAATAATTACTCCCTTCACCATGACTGCTCTTTCTTGGCCAAACTACTGTAAAGACCTAGCGATGAGAAAAATACACAATTTTCGGAGGTAGCTGATTGCAGTGGTCTTGCTTACTATTAATTTACATTTAAATAAAGAATATTAAAATACTAAACTTTTTTAAATGAAGTACTTTTCTCAGTTCAATTTTTCATTTCATTTCATCATCCTGTTATTCGTCGATTGCCTCAAGCAGGCCCCAGTAACGTCTCTTTCATCCTAACCCTGAGATTATATTCAAGGCTCTTTAGGAGAATGAGACCCATCATTGTTACTGGTATTTGGCATATTTGGTACACCACGGGGAGTTTGCCAGACTCTGCCCTGTGGGCAGGCTACATTCGATAGCCTGCAAGTTTGTCCAAAGTAGGAATGAGATAATAAGATGTCATAAAAAGATGTCCTGATAAGATGTCGCGCGGTTCCGGGAGCTGGATTTTATAGTCTCTGAGTCTTGGCCGTTGATGGGATTACACGGCGCCAGGGGGCCAGGTGGTGGGTGTGACCCCCGCCTACTGGAATTTGGAGGATCTGGGTGGAGGATGCTCGACTCCAGTCCGAGTAGGCTGGGAGATCTCGGCCCCGGAACCCGCGTGGATTTGTCCCTCTGCCAGTACCTTCATGTGTGCGGAGAGTGGTCTCAGCATGGTGGTGGCTGGTCCTGGAGGTCTTCGGCTGCTGGAGCCCTGGTCGGGGCGGGGAGGAAAGCTCAACCCGCTCCCCTCCAACAGACCCCGGGGAGGAACAGCCAGACGCGGGGACAGAAGACTGCACTGTTCTTGTCCGGGAGCTGGATTTTATAGTCTCTGAGTCTTGGCCGTTGATGGGATTACACGGCGCCAGGGGGCCAGGTGGTGGGTGTGACCCCCGCCTACTGGAATTTGGAGGATCTGGGTGGACGATGCTCGACTCCAATCCGAGTAGGCTGGGAGATCTCGGCCCCAGAACCCGCGTGGCTTTGTCCCTCTGCCAGTACCTTCATGTGTGCGGAGAGTGGTCTCAGCATGGTGGTGGCTGGTCCTGGATGTCTTCGGCTGCTGGAGCCCTGGTCAGAGCGGGGAGGAAAGCTCAACCCGCTCCCCTCCAACGAGCCCCGGCGAGGAACAGCCAGGCGTGGGGGCAGAAGACTGCCTCAGTTCAATATTTCTTTTTTTTCTTTTTTTCTTTTTTAAAATTCTTATTAGTGAGACATCATGAGGTACAGTTCAATATTTCTTACCTGTTAGAAGAGACATTCATTATTTTTGGTTGATTAGTATCTTTGTGAATTGAACCAAAATGAGGGAGGTTATCTGGAAATGCATCTTTGCTTTGAGGTACTAGGGATAGGCCAACAAAAGCTTCATTTAACTTATCCACTCTGTCCAGGGGCCCCAGGAGCTCTGTTGTAAAATGATTGATATGAATCAAATGTAAATACAGTTTCTTCAGGAAAACTTTAACATTCCAATGGATTTCCCCCCTAATTTGTCAGCTTATAGTATAGAGTAGAAATCTTGTAGTCACAATGTTCAATGATTTCTTTCACCCAAGAGCTCAACAAATGGATAATTGGAGAATGAATATTTTTTTGAGTCCAGATTTCCAGAATTCATCGATAGGGACTAGAGAGATAGCTTCACAGGCTAGAGCACGCGCTTTGCATGTAGGAGGCCTCAGTTCCATCCATTGATTGGGTGATACCTCCAGAACTGCCAGGAGTAACCCCAGAGCATTGAGCTAAAAGTAGCCATTGAACACTGCCAAGTATGCCCTTCATGCCACAAACAAATTCATTTATTTTTCCCACTCAGAGTGGATTTACCCCGGGTCAGCTGGTAGCAAGGTTAGCACCCTACCAATAACTGTACTGTCTCTCCAGCTCCTGACCTACAGTATTTAAAAACTAATTCAATTGTTTATTAACATTCAAAACTCAAGGAATTAAATATAATATTCCATATTTATTGCTTCCTAAAAATGAGAAGTTTTGGATCCAAAGATAGCATGCCAGGCTAGAACACATGCTTTGCATAAAGGAGCCCTGGTATGCCAGGTCCGCTAAGCTCTGAGCCAGGAGTAGGTAGCCCCTGAGAACTAGGAGGTCTGCACTTTCCCTGCCTTTTATAACTTTTCTGTATTGTTTTTGGGCCCCTAGGGTATTCCAAGGGCAGTATTGCTGTGTTGTATGGAAGCTCAATTTCTAGTTTTTTTTGAGAAGGTCCATACTGTTTTCCAGAAAGATCAGAGTCCTTTTCTGCCCTCATCCATGCCAGCATTGGTTGTTGTGTTTTTTCCCTTCATGTTTGCTAATCTCTGTAGTATGAAATGATATCTCACTGTTTTGATTTGCATCTCCATGACAATTAGTTATGTAGAGCACTCTTTAATGTGTCTTTCTCACATTTACATTTCTTATTGAGGAAGCTTCTGTTCATTTCTTCTTCCCATTTTTTGCTGGGTTGCATGCTTTGTTTGTTTGTTTGTTTTGTTTTTTTGGGTCATAGCCAGCAAAGCTAAGGGATTACTCCTGGCTCAAAACTCAGGAATTACTCCTGGCAGTGCTTGGGGAACCATATGGAATGTCGGTGATAGAACCTGCGTCAGCTGGGTGAAAGGCAAATGCCTTATTCACCATACTATCACTCTAGCCCTCAACTGTTGTATGATTTTTTTTCTTTCAAACTTCTACCAGTGCAATATATATCTTGGATTGACTTCTAAGTCTTAAAAGCAGTGATTTGCTGAAACAAAACTGTAAGAACACTAATTCCCCATCAAACCCTACTTTTCTTTCTTTTTTTTTTTTACTATCTAACTTTTAATAGAAATTCTTCCAGGGTCAATAAGTAAAATAGCAGAAATTCAAAACCGCGCGGCCGCAATAGCTCATACTTTGTTGCGACATCATTTTATTCTTTTTTTTTCCCTTTATTTTATTTTATTTTTTTTAAAGTTGTAGATTTACAATTTTTTGTGCTTTGGTTTCAATTATACAATGATCAGATACCCATCCCTCCACCAGTGCCCATTTTCCACCACCATGGATAATATCCCTCCCACCCCCATCCCCCCATCCCCCCGTCTCTGTGGCAGGGCGATCCCCTGTGTTCTCTCTCTCCTTTTGGGTGTTGTGGTCTGCAAAAGAGGCATTGAGTGGCAAACATGTTCAGTCCATAGTCTACTTTCGACATGCATCTCCCCTCCTGGGAGGATCCCCAAACATCCTTTATTTGGGTGCTCCCTTCTCTATCTGAACTGCCCTTTCCTCTAGGATACCCGGCTGGCCTCTAAGTTATGGAGTAATCCTCCTGGTGCTGATCTCAGCTATTCTTGGGTATTAATCTCATACTTTGTTACTTTATATCCCCCAGATGAATGCAATCTTTCTATGTCTATCCCTCTCTTTCTGACTCATTTCGCTTAGCATGATACTTTCCATATTGTACCACTTGTATGTAAATTTCATGACTTCATCTTTTCTAAGAGCTACATAGTACTCCATTGTGTAGATGTACCAAAGTTTCTTTAACCAGTCATCTGTTCTTGGGCATTCAGGTTTCTTCCAGTTTCTGGCTATTGTAAAGAGTGCTGCAATGAACAAACAAGTGCAGATGTCACTTCGACTACACATTTTTGCCTCTCTGGGATATATTCCCAGGAGTGGTATTGCTGGGTCAAATGGGAGCTCAATTTCTAATTTTTTGAGAATCGTCCATACTGTTTTCCAGAAGGGCTGAACCAGTGGACATTCCCACCAACAGTGAAGGAGTGTCCCTTTCTCGCCACATCCACGCCAGCATCGGTTGCTTTTGTTCTTTTGAATGTGGGCCAGTCTCTGAGGTGTGAGATGGTATCTCATTGTGGTTTTGATCTGCATCTCCCTGATGATTAATGATGTAGAGCATTTTCTCATGTGCTTTTTTGCCATTCGGATTTCTTCTTTGAGAAAGTTTCTGTTCATTTCATTGCCCCATTTTTGGATGGGGTTGGATGTTTTCTTCTTGTGGAGTTTAACCAGTATTTTGTATATCCTGGATATCAACCCCTTGTCAGATGTGTATTCGGTGAATATCCTTTCCCATTCTGTAGACTGTCTTTGTATTTTGGTCACTGTTTCTTTGGAGGTGCAGAAGCTTCTTAGTTTAAGATAGTCCCATTTATCTATCTCTGTTTTCACTTGCTCGGCCAGTGGCGTGGCATCTTTGAAGATACCATTAGCTTCAATGTCATGGAGCAAACCCTACTTTTCTATAACACCAACGATAAGTATCTGCTCTGGTTATTTTCAGATTTTAATTCCTACAGACATTCAAATTTATTTTAGGGTCATCAAACTATAGTCTGTAGGTCAAATATATTTCTCAAGCTGCTTTGGATGATCTGATATAAGAATGGTTTTTATCAGTGTGGACGATTCTCCAAAAATTAGAAATTGAGCTCCCATTTTACCCAGCAATATCACTACTGGGAATATATCCCAGAGAGGCAAAAAAGTATAGTCGAAATGACATCTGCACTTGTTTGTTCATTGCAGCACTGTTTACAATAGCCAGATCTGGAAAAAACCTGAGTGCCCAACAGATGACTGGTTAAAGAAACTTTGGTATATCTACACAATGGAATACTATATTGCTGTTAGAAAAGATGAAGTCATGAAATTTACATACAAGTGGTACTACATGGAAAGTTTCATGTTAAGCAAAATGAGTCAGAAAGAGAGGGACAGACATAGAAAGATTGCATTCATATGGGAACATAAAGTAACAAAATAGGAGACTAATACCCAAGAATAGCTGAGATAAGTACCAGGAGGTTTACTCCATGGCTTGCAGGACAGCCACACATGCTAGGGGAAAAGGCAGCTCAGATAGAGAAGGGAGCACCAAATAAAGGGTGTTAGGAGAATCTGCCCAAGATGGGAGAAGCATGCTGAAAGTAGACTATAGACTGAACATGATTGCCACTCAATGCCTCTTTTGCAAGCCACAGCCCCCAAAAGGAGAGAGAGAGAACAAAAGGAAATGCCCTGCTACAGAGGCAGGGTTAGACGGGGGTTATGGGGAGTAGGAGGGATACTGGGATCTGTGGTGGTGGAAAATGAGCACGGGTGGAGGTATGGGTACTTGATCATTGTATAATTGAAACCCAAGCACAAAAATTTGTAACTCTACAACTGTATCTCATTGTGTTTCACTAATAAAAATTTAAAAAAGAATGGTTTTTACATTTTTAAATGGTTAAAAACATATTTTGTGACTTTAAAAATTACGTGAAATTCAAATTTCAGTGTTTAAATGCAATTTTATTAGAACGAAATGAAGCTCATTTTTTCCACATACTGTCTGTGGCTACTATCATGTCAGAGTTAAATCACTGGGATAGGTAGAGACCATAAGACCTAAAAAAGTCTAAAAGTTTTTCTATTCCAACCTTTATAAAAAGGTTTGCTGCTCTAGGGGGAAAAAAAGAAAGCTCCCCCATTCCTCCCCCCCCTTTCCTTTTAATTTTCTTGAATATTTTTTCTCTCTTACACATGTTCCTTCAGACCCCAGATGCAATTGTCTCTATCAATTCTATTTTACAGAAAATGGAAAGGAGTGAAAAAAATCTAGTGATAGGGTTCTAATCTCTGCTTCTATGATCTTTAACATGTCATTTCATCTCTGAGAGCTTCTATTTCCTCACCTGTAAAAGTGATAAATTAAGATCATCTCCAAATATTTTCTCATTTTGAAGTCCATGAAGTAGACAAAAAAAAATAAGTGGGGAAACGATAAATGTGAAGAAAAATGTAAAGGATGAAGACTGAAGGATGATTGGGAGTCTCCTGGTTGCCAAGTAGACAACACAGAATAATAATTCCTACTTTTCTTGATTCTTTGGTCCATGTTCAGGATAGACTGGAGCGATAGCACAGCAGGTAGGGTGTTTGCCTTACATGTGGCAGACCTGGGTTCGATTCTTCTACCCCTCTCGGAGAGCCCAGCAAGCTACTGAGAGCATCTCACCCATACGGCAAAGCCTGGCAAGCTCCCTGAGACGCATTCGGTATGTCAAACACAGTAACAAGTCTCACAATTTGTTGTGAGACGTTTCTGGTGCCTGCTAGAGCAAATCGATGAACAATGGGAGGACAGTGCAACAGTGCTAGTTTTCTTGATGTAGTCCTTTACATATATAACCCTTAATTCTTGTAATAATTCTGTTAGATAGCATCATTATCTCATTTGTAGAAGTAGAAACTGAGGTTCAAAGAGGCTAACTAGCTTTCTCTAAACTAATATCTATTAGTGGCAAAACAAAATTTGAGGCTCATACTGAGGGTGTCTGGCTCCAAAGCCAGAGCTGTTCCATTTTAACAAAATGCTTGAAGTAAAAGAAGAAATGGAAGCTGTGAGAA